AAAGTGAGGGATAGTTGACGATTAATTAAATTCGTGATTTAATTTCAACATTGATGAGATGCAAGTGAACAATTAACTTTGTTAACATCGTGGAAAAAAGGCAGTACAAGCAAAGAACGGGTATCTCCGCCGAATATTCGGGCAAATAAATCAGTTCGACATGCAGGGGGATTTAATCTACGGTGTGCAACGACGAGGAGCACCAACCATAATCTCAATGGGGCATAAAACAGCCATTACAGATGGCCCGATGGGTGACAACACGCCGTAAATAATCTACCACCGCTTTCGCCAGGCATCGTTTCAAAGTTACGCGTCGCGTTCCACCGATAACCGCATTTCCTCTCACACATCGTCTTTCCAGATGACGATTTCCCAGATTAAATCCGTCATCCCTTCTCTCCTTTTTAATTCCTTTTTAAAAATTTGAAAGATCTCTTTCCTTTTGATCCGACGTTAAACTGTCGCATGAATCTTTTAAAGACAGGACAGCTATCCTCCTTCAGGATAATTAAAACAACAGGATAGTTAGGTATTCTATATAGGTCGCGTACTTGCTAAATTGATAAACTTTATAAGACAAAAGATAGACAGATTGATGAATGAAAAAAATGCATAAACTCGTGTATCCTTGGAATAATCACATTTCTGAAGTGAGTTATTTATTATTTTATAGCTAAAAGAAAAAAATTAATAGCGTTGAGTCTAATTATCAACGAAATTTATTTCAAAAGTCAAGCATCAGTTAAATGCGTTGGCGTTAAAAATTGAAAAAGAAATTCAAAATTTGGCTTGTAGACGGTATTTATCATTGAAAGATGTAAAGGAATGTTATCGACTTATATTTTATATAAAAGAGAAGGTGCATAAGTTATTAAATACAAACAGTGTAATCTGTATAAATTACAGAATCTTTGTTAACGTGTCCTAAAATTTTTAAATGTATTAGATATTTATTTTAACTCCTTTTGAAATTTAATTTAATTTTTACTTAATCTCATTCTTTCAAGTGTATGTTGCTCGTGGAAGAATAATTTACTAACCGATTTTTTACATAAGTAATAAATTACAAGAAAGATAATTCTTTGCATAAAGTGCTAACACTGAAACAATTAATTTTCTATTAGTTGGAGTAATTGATGACTTCGATAGAGTATAGTGCTGCATCTCTTTGAAATTTACCGACACCAGTCTCCCCGTATCGGATAGTCTCGTAAAAGTATGAAGACAAACAGTGCAGAGGTAGCCGGACATAATTTTTCGAGATACGTTTTATCGCTGCTTAAATGGCACTTGATGATACCGAACACGATCGTTGGAAGAGAGTCGGGCAACGGTGTTCGTGGCATGCACGAAAAACTATCAAATGTTCTGTCAACGCTAACGCCAACCAGGTTCACCATGTTTTCGGGTGCCACACTCTCTTTACTATTCATTAAACAGGAAAAGGAAACAGGATAAAATTTAGATAAATTACAAAGAGAATAGAAGATCAAAACTCTCAAGATTACTTGATCTAAACATTATTGAAAACTTTATGATTATACAATTCAGAACTTTAATAATTTCACAACAAAATGGTGCGACTTAGTCTATTGATAGTTTTCATAAAATAACATTCTGCGTTTGTGATCATAAAAAGATTAGATGTGAGTGGGTATATAAATTGTAAATTGGAAATTGAATGGATACTTCTAGAATACACTATTAAATTCAAGCTTCTTGCACTAGATTTTCAATCTGCTAATTAATACTGGTTTGAATCTTCAGATGGTCATGATAATTTTTTTGAAATTTTAAATAAAAATAAAAACTATTCAATCGATTACAATTAAAATTAAGTAGCCTAATAAAAGTTTAGTTATCTACGATTCAATGATATTAATTAATTCATCGAGGATTAGCAATTTTTTGCTACAATATTAAGTTAAAATTAATTTTTTACATTTCATAAAATTGTATTTCATCGAATGATGAAAAATTATTAAATCCGTGAAATTCCCTTCTATAGCCACGGATGTGAAAAAAAATAAAATTTTTATCGTACAAATCGATTGGCAAGTGAAATGTTGCGTTGATCTTTAACGAGTTAATGCAATGATCCGTTCGATCCTTGGTAACACCGTCAGGTGTCGAAGAAATCAACACTTACCTCTGCTGCGCTGCCAAAAGCTGCTCAACTGCTGGTCGCCCTTTCTTTTCTTATCTTTCCTGTTTGCCGGTTTTCCGTGTCACGTCTCGAACGTCGCTTAGACGGCCGATCATTCGCGTTATTACGTTTTCCACCGCTAATAAATTAATGTCAAAGGGAAGGTCCTGTAATTGATGCCCGCGCGGGGATCAAATCGACATTGATTTATCGATCGAGCTCTGGCCAGCGCCTCGCGCCGCAAACAACAAGAAAACCGACGATTTATTGACTTTTCGGCCGGATCGCACGATTGAATAGATCGGTTCGTTTCGTCGTCCCGTTCGATCGATCCCGCAGCTCACAAAGCCGTGTTTCTATCTGTCTCGATCTGTTCCCTCCTTCAGTTCGAGAAATCTCTCAAAATTTCAGTCTAATCTCAATCTGATCTTGAAAGTCTGATGAAAAAATTCGAGAACGAAGGAAATTGGAGAATGACTACGAAGATGTATAATTTAGAATTAGATGCATACTGTTTCGAATAAATTAATAAATATAGCTACTAAGCAGTAATACAAGCTACCAAGTTAGTTGCGTTTCATCAGAAAATTATTGTATCGCTAACTTTCAACTCTCGACGCTTTCCGTTTCGATTCTGGGACAAAGTGCCGATTTTTAACAATTCGACTCAAACACGAATTTTCATCGAACAGTACAATTTACATGTAGATACTGTTTATTTCTTGCTCGTTAAACAATCTAGGAATATATCATTTTTATGAATCACTTCCCTATTATGAATTCTTCAGTTGTTTGCGCTATATGTGACCACACGAAGATCACACTTCTGTAAACTAGCTTTAAAATTCCATCTTCAGAGGACACTGTATTCCTTCGATCTTCTGTTGCAGGTTGCATCTAATTTTCATCAAAACCTTGTAGAGCATAAAAATCAAAAGATTCATAAAGATTCGCGTTTTCCACTCGCGTTTTTCCCGATTCCTTGTTTAATCTGTGTTCGATCTGTTGCACGATGACAATGCGTTAAAAAGGTTGGCTTTCGCGATAACGCATCACAAATTTCGAGAGCACCGATTCGTTGAGTACCACTCGGCGACTAATTGTAGAAGAATCGTCGTGAAGAGAAGAGAAGAGAAGAGAAGAGCAGCACGTGCGCCAGCGATATCTCCCGTCAAGGAAGTCGCATTGATACCGACGTCCTGCTTAATCATGCTCCAGACTCCAGTGAAATCCCGTGGCCGTGATCATAATTAAAATAAACTCTGTGGAAAATGAGCCGATAACGATTCTCGCGAATAGCGAACGAAAAGTTCTGGGAAACGATCAAAGTCGGAATTCCTAGTGAAATATGGAAGCATTTCAAATCGAATTCGCAAGTTTTGCAAGCAGAGAGAAAAGAAGATTTTATTCGATCTGATTTTTACTTTGCAATCGGAGAAGCAATTGTAGATTATTCAACAACAGAAGACACCTATGTGTTAGGAAATATGATCGACAAAATAATTGCACAGTTGCGTGCGTGCAGACGATTTCTTTATTTTCAACAAAATATTAAATGAACTTTAAGTAAAGATTTATCATACGTAATTATTATTTGCTCGATAAATGATTCGTGCCTTTGATCGTACTTTAATAGATCACTTCTTCACAGCAACTTTACAACGCAGCGTCATATTTTGCATTTCTTTCGCCTCCTATCTATCATTCAATGCCTCGCATTAAAATCATGGTATCTGAGATTATTATGCTCGTTAAAAAAATTCCAATATTAAAACAATGTACACATGTCTCTCTCTCTTTTTTTTCAAGGAATGGTTCAATTATGAAATAGATTCGGATGAAGAATGGGAGGAAGAGGAACCAGGTGAATCTTTGCGTGGTTCTGACGATGAGAAAGATGATGAAAACCCGGAGGACAACGAGTACGATGTAGACAACGATTTCATGGTTCCTCATGGGTGAGTTAATATGTTCTCGATACTTGGAATATGCTTTTAATTTAATATTTTTTTATCTAATAATAATTACGAATCTTCATTTTTATAATTTAGGTATTTGTCCGACGAAGAGCTTCGCGCTGATGAAGAAGATAAGGAAGACATGGTTAATAGTTTCAGAATAATTAGATAGTGGATTCTCATGTAAATTCATACTTTTGAAAATGTAATTTAAAAAGTATAACTTTGATAGAAAATTATTTTACGTACGAAATATATTACAGGAAACACTGTATTTCGAGTATTTCATACATTTTTCCATATTATGTGCATTTTTAAATTTTCTGTTACAAACGCATAACAATCCACAGTCTAATAATAAAATATCGAGATTAATTAGGTAGATTAAGAATCGTAGATAACTTTATATTAATCGGCGTTAATTTCGTTCTCACAGAACCCTGAAACACAAAAGTTCAAGTTGAAATTACTCGGAGAACAGTTTGAATTCGAAAGGAATGCAAAGACCGCGAAATTGAAGCCAAAAATAGTAGGCTGCATTTGGAGAGGACGTGAAAATAAATTTCCATCAAACGGTGAATATTCGATATCTAAAACGTTATATACATTTCTAAAAAAATCAGTCCGGAAGATCAAGCTGATTTTTTTTATTTTTAGAATATCATCTAACGTTTGCTACTTGTTTTCAGTATCAGAAAAAATCGTGGACTTCTTGTCAGCCCGAGAGGCCTGGGTATATCAGATACCGGTGTCACTGCCAACTACAAATGATGGCTTGACAAACAGCAACTGTAACACACCTGTAAAGCAGCAAGCGCCGAAGAAGACACGATTTCCGGACGCAGCCATGCCAGATTTGATTCGTCTGATACATGGAAACACGTACAGCAAGAAATACCTTGTGAAAGAGTTCATAGCCTACTGGAGTAAGAAGAACAATGGAGCTGAGAATCAGCTGTCAAAAATCAGTATATTGAAAAAAATTTGTGAGATTGGGAAGTGGATGCCATGTCCAGAAGAGGGACCGATGCATTCCAAGGCTTGCTGGTATGTGAATGAAAATATCAGAAAGGAACATGTCAGCGAAGAGCTTGCTTTGCCAAACAATTGGTCATATGTCGTGCCTCTAAAGAAGAAAGATTTCACGGAATTAACATCGTACCTCACTCCGAAGTGAAATTATTTTATGAAGATCTTCTAATTATATAGTACGATACGTTTAAAGTTTCGGAAAGAGATAAATTTGACCCATATTTAGAAATATGTCGTTTGCAATATTTTAAGATGGTATTTTAAGCTATGTAATTGAAACGTCGTAATTTTAACGAATTGCTACGCCGATTTAAAATCTCGTTATTTTTAATTGCAATTGTTAAAATCGACTTGTATTTATAATATAATTTAATTGGTGCCATCACTTTCTAAATATGGATCAATATGCATTTTAGTTTAACGTTTATCTAGTATCGATTACAATCATCAATTTAAACTCAATTTAAAGTTATGTTATTTAATTATAAAATATAAATGAGTCCATGGAGAAAAGGGAAAAATGTCAGTTTTTGTAAATTTTGAATTTAATATTTTTTAACACGTTCCTATAATGTTCTAACTATGCCACATTCCTATATGTGTTCCTAATCACTAACTATGTCACATTAAGAATTAAAATTTTTTGAATTTTATATTTATTTTGATATATGAAGTTGTGATACTATATATTACAAAATAAATTTCAGCTTTTTTTTGCCTTGATATTGATCCCCTTTTCGTGGATCTTTAGAAATGAATTAATTTACAAAATATTGACTAAAATAAAATAGTCAAAAATCTTCACTTTACTAAATTGTTGTCTGTTATTAATATTAACCTAATGATACCAATTGAGGATTTCGCGTTAACACTGTACATCGATCTGATTAGCTCTTCCTTTTGTACAAATTTAATAAACGTTATGGTCGTCGATGACTTTAAAAACAATACAATGCAAATTAATGCAAACGATATTATAATGTAACAAAGATATATTTTGTAAAAGATTCAATGTTAATTTGAGAAATTTGAGTGACTAAAGCTGAAAGATGTTGAAATTGTTGAAGATCAATGTTAAAATCGTTAGTTAATAGGATGATACTTAATAAAAAAAAAAAATGGAATAAAAGAGAAGGAATAAAAGCGTATAAAATTTATACGTTCTACTAAAAATTATACTTTTATACGAAAAAAATCAATAAATAACTTGAACGATATGTATTTTCAATTATTTACAATTTGTCGATTCCATTGTTTTCGAAAAAGATAGAAATTGATTCCATTATTATGTGATAAGCTTCTTCTCCTTTCTCCTGTGTTTCTCTTTTTTTTTTTTTTTTT